TATTTGATATTTCGAAAATCAATATCGGATGAACGAGAAATTACGAAAAAAGGACGAAAATCAAGTCGCGACCGCATGGTTGGTAAATAGACACCTTTTCATAAAGGTGCATTGTTTGGAAAGGGTGCATGGTTTGACCTCAACCATTTCGTCCACACCTTTTCATGGTCTATAAATAGGACCCTTTGGGTGCCCTATTCCACACAATTTGATATGCAAAACATCTCTTATCCTCTCTTCTATCCAAAATCAAAATCATTTCGTTTATTTTGATTTTCCTTCATTTCATCCTTGGAGTACGTAAGCCTAAATTTGGTTCGTTGTACTTGTGTTTTGGAGTGCTACAAACACAAGTATAGCCGTTGTATCTTGGGAGTCGATTGCCGAAATCCGTAGGCACCGTTGCGAGGCAAATTCGACTTAAGGACAAAGAGTTCAACTCTTGTCTCGGCTTTGTCCCTACTTTCTTCTTCTTCTTGTTTGTGTTTTTTTTGCCGTTACTTTGTCCAATTTTCGGCACGGATTTACAAACCATCATTATAATTGTTTTGGCGTCGCTATTCACAAAATTCCTCCAACACGAAACCGTAAATTTTTCAAATTATGCATATTGACCAATGAGAAAAAACTTTTAGTAATACAATTGAGAAATGGGAAACAACTTAGAAAGGACATTGACTATTTCAAAAAAAATAAAAAAATAAAGTGATATTTTCAGAGAAAAAACTTTGAAAGTGCAATGACTATACAAATAAATAAATAAATTTCAATGACTATTAAAGAAATGATATGGAAAGTACACTAATCATTGATATTATATTATCTTCTGAAAGAACAGTAGTTATCATTTTTTTTTTATCAATTACAATAGTTAGGGACCTTAGGGTAAATAAAAAATCGTCAATCCATCAAATCAAACCAAAATCGCAAGTGAGAAATTGTTGATATGGATTTGTTCGGTTTAGATTACAGCAATTAAAAAATAGAACCAAATCATTTGAAAATGGTTCATTTTAAATTTCGAAAATTGAAAACTATTTGACATCAAATCAAATCGTTCAACCAATGTAAATAAAAAATATTTATTTTTCCCAAAATACTATTTATTAATTCAAGTTACACTTCAACAAATTTAATTGCTAGTTCGTTTCTATTGACTTTTTTAGGAAATAATGATTTATGATAATACTTTTCTTATCTATTTAAAAAAGAAAGAACTTTTAAACTTCAATTTATGGTTGAACATTAGTTTGATCTTCTATTGAGACAATTATATTTGTATTGTACGGCAATGTATATGTTTACAATGTCTCAATTTAAGTGTTGTATTCACATTTCAGATATAGTATTTTTGTTTCATTAAAACCGTGATTTGAAATCATATCAAACTGCAAAAAATAATTTAATTTGGATAATGAAAAAGGTTGATTTTAGGGTTTTTTTTTTCTAAACCATTTGTAAAATAATTTGATTTGAAAATCATTTAAAAATAATTCAAAGAGAATTATTTTTGTTTCGTTAAAACTATCAAACTACAAAAAATAATTTAATTTGGATAATGAAAAAGTTTGATTTTAATTTTTTTTTTCTAAACCGTTTGTAAAATAATTTGATTTGAAAATCATTTAAAAATAATTCAAATCGAATCGTGTTTACTTATATGATAATCATCTGTATTTTATTATTCATATAAAAAAACATTTATACGTTTAAGTAAATGATTCCCTAACATAAAATTCTATACGTGTCGATCACCTAAAACTAGTACTCTAACAGCATACATAAAAGGTAACACAAACCTTTCATAAACGCAATATCATGAGTGTTTAGTTATTCAATTCCTTTCACAGTTAGGAAGTCGTAATTGTTTATATAAATATTCGTGCTTTTAGTCAAATGCACGCAAGACCATGGATCTAAGCAACATTTAAAATTTTTTTTCCCATTTATTACACCCTGTTTAATTTTGATAAAAATCAAATTTTTAGTAGATTTCAATAAAATTTAATAAAATGTACGGTTGAAAAGTTGTTAAACAAATAAAATGTATAATTAAAATTAAATATTAACGTTGACTTAAAATTTAATCGAAATTTTTAGTAAAACCAAACAGGAACTATGTTCTCTCCCAACAATTATCGACGAGATATTTATCTTTTTAGCTCCATTACTCCAAAAGTAGATATGAGAATTTCGTCACTAATAAAAGAGTGAGGAGACACTTGGTGGGACTTCTATTTTTTACTTTCACTTTTTGTAGAAGAGCTATCCGAGAAAGTTAATTTAGGTTAACTTCCTCTAAAAGCTATTTTGTTCAAATAAAGCATTTCAAAAATTTATCAAAATGTTCAAAAAAATCTTTTTAATCTTAAAAGCTACTTTTAATATTTTAAAAGCTATGTAAAACGGGTTGAAACAAATATTTTTATCGTACACTACCTAAGTGAACAAAGGAAACTTACTCAAAATAGGTTGTCGATTTTGACTTTAAAAAGTCTTGTGTACTTGCTGAGCTAAATATCTAGACCTAGCAAAGTAGAACGCGTCAATTTAATAAAGACTCGATTTAAATGAAAGAAGTTCAAAGTTAAAGTATTAGTAAAAAGTTATCTTCTTTGTTAATCACAAAATTTCAAAACTTTATCGTTTTTACTTTTTACTCCATTTTGAATTCATCTTTGTTACATATTGTGACGTTGAAATAGATTTTGACTTGATAGATATTAGAAAGTAAAAATTAATATGAAGGAAAAAAAAAATCATATGGGTTCATGTCACATGTAGTGTAAAATTTGTAATAGACCGTCAAATTCCAAGTTACAAAATTACTTGGGTATTGCAGATTGACCCCTAAATTTCCCATTTCCTTTCTTTATAACCCAAATTGTAAACAATTAATTTTCTGTCTCCAAGTTAGGAGACTCATGAGCAAACATATTAAACAAAAATATAACTTTCACGCTTTAATATTTCTTTTTGTTCTTACTTAGCGCTTTCGGTTATTATCCAACTTGGACAAAATTTTATCAACTAATTAAAAAGATTAAGCAAAAAATCTCAATTCATTACATATTATTTTAAATTTTATTTTAGGAACCATTGTAAAGATATATCGATCTGAGTGCTCAATGGAACACCTTGTCCGTCCTGCATAGATCTTATAATAAACTTAACTCGCCTCCCGATACATATCCCAGTGGTGTAAAGGATATGAGTGAGGTAGTTTCAACCTTACTGACAGTCGCAGTGTGAGGGTTTGATTCATGAAATATGAAATTGGACTCTTTGTGGGCACCAGTGTACGGACAAACTCTTGTTCCCTGACCTATTGGAACACATCTCGTGATTTACCTCCCTCACGATATTCCAGAAACGAGGCCGTGGGGGCTCTCAAGGTTGGGGTTCAATTTTTTTTTTTTTATAATAAACTCAACTCTTCAATATCACAATTCAAGAATTTGTCATGGTCGAATATTTTCTCCAGAGAATAGAATTTGCCATGGTCAATATGTTTTCCGTAGAATTTTAACACAACAATGTTATGTTATAATTTTTTTACTAATAAAAATTTGTAAGCTAAATAATTTTTATATCGTTAGCCTATATAGTATATACGGCATTTTAAGACTGTTTATACTGCACAAGATCAACAATAAATACATAGAAAGCAAGCGAAAATGTGACTTATTGTTGTGTTTAAGGATGGAATAAATACTCACATCATTCGTTCAACACTATTTGTACTACACCATCAAGAACAATTAATAAATTCTGATCTCCATTGATGAAAAAACATTACGTAAATCTTTTGATTGGTTGACATATGCAAAAGTTAATCCGATATATCTTATATAAATTTACTATGACAATTTACATATATACAAAATCTTGACTTTTTTCTAGATTATACAAAAATATTTTGTCTAGAGTTTGATGTAGATTTTTGGATAATTGATTTTTTAGAAAACGTGTGATTAAAAGGTATGAAAAATTATGAATTCACGTGTAAAATTATTTTATTAAAAGAATATACGGTTATAAAATATGTTTTAAAAAAAATAAATTTAAAGAATCTTTACCAAATAGGGGCTTAATCTCCTCCCCCAACATCTCTAAATACTATGTTCGAGCTAACAACTTTTTCATGAAAGTTACTAATAAACCTCAATTGAATCAAATTTCTTGACAATTTTAGTAGTTAGGCATTCAATTATTGAATGAGAGGTGGGGATTTCATTATTTTGGATGGACAAATAGTAAAGGGCCCAATGGAATTAGGAGAATTGGGCAAATTTCGTAAATGTGTATATTTTGCGGGGAAAATCATTTGTACAGAAAATGAGTTCACAAAACTAGAACCTCTCCAGAAGAGACACATGAGGTCAGTCCCATGCAGGGGACCCATGGGTGATAAAAATTGCAAAAAAAAATGCTGACTTACCAACTTGTGTGTTTTCTGTAGAAGCTCCCTTTTGTACACGTAACGGGGTTCATATTTTGCAGAAGGGTTTTGCTTGACGTCCACATGGCCTTGGGCCTAGGACACCCTGACTTACTGCCTTGTGTGTTTTTTGTAGAAGCCCCCTTTTGTACATGTAACGGGGTTCATATTTTGTAGAAGGATTTTGCTTGACGTCCACATGGCCTGGATGTCCAGGACACCGTTTGATGCCCACCTATAGGTGGCCTGTCTGCCCAGCCGTCCAGGGCCATGGTGGGCCTTGCCCTTTGCAGGATAAAACTGACAATTTAGCCCTTGTTTGATTTTCATTAAATTACATTACATTACATTCTACTTTTTTTCTTTCCTATTTTCAACCACACAATCTTCCATAAAATAATATTACACGTAAATCGAAAATTTTTCTTTCTTTTTCAATCACTCATTTTTCAAAAAACACTATTCTATACATTAAATTTTCCCCGTAATGGGGGCCAAACAGGGGCTTAATCTCCATCCAATCAAACAAAAAGGTGGCCTGATCGCCTGCGACATACGCAATGCACCAAATCAACTCCCCACTTATTAAAGTCTCATTCTTCGAGCCAAGTCAGTTAATACAGTCACACAATACCCACGTACACCCCAACGCCCTTCTCTGATATATGTTATGCTCGGCTTCAAACATTTTCACGAGATTCTTGAAGATAATGTACTTTAATTTGTGTTGCTTTTATTTTATTATAAGATGATTTGGTTGAATTTCACGCTAAATGTAGATCATTTTAATTTCTAACACTTCACATGTTTCTGGATCTGATATTTTTTATACCCAGATTATATTAAAAACAAAAAGTTAAGACTGTAGTGACTAGTGATTGTATGGAAATTCAAGTGTTGGGAAGAATTTGTGAAATATTGAAGCCCTAAATCGTCCAAACGTTTGCTGTACAATTTGAGTGAAGCTGAGAGTAAATGAAGAGGAGATCGATTTCGCAGAAAAATCATCAGAGATGGAAGATGAAACTTTTTGCTGTGTTTTTGCTTGTATTTTGTTTCGCGACTTTAGTATTAATGGAATCGCTTTACATAAGGATCAAATTTTTGGCGTTAATTTCCCCGCCTTTGGTTCAGAAGCCGAAAATGGCGTTTCTATTTATAGCACGAAATCGACTTCCACTTGAGATGGTTTGGGATGCATTCTTCCAGGTAATTACCCTTTTTTATTTGTTTTTATTTCATCTAATATTTCTATTTTTAGTAATCAATTCATTACATATTCATAATAGTGACGCAATAAACAAAATAAATTTCCCCGTTTGTAATTAATATTACTGTATAGAGTACTAAGAGTAGGTGTTGTTTAAATGCTGTTGTATCATCTTTCTTTGTAGCACACAAAAGCTGGCATCCCTTTTGAGGAATATACGAGTATAGTATTGATTTGGTTGCGATAGGCATCGATAATGGATGGAGGACTGAAAGTATTTAGACAGAAATATAACTAATGATGTTAATCTATAATTTGAAAACTCTCTAATGACATTTGAAAGGAATAAATTGTAGATATTATTGGACCACAATAGAATATTTTGACTAAAGGAAAATTAGTTCTTAAAAACTTGTGTAAGACAATTAGAGTAAATCAGATCATAATCAACAAGAAGTGTATCAAACATTGGTTAGGTTAAATCAAATCATTGCAACTAAACTATAGTTAATTGATTTCGCTGAACTGGTGATTTTCTAGCTAGTGGCTTAGATTGTTGAGTGCTTTGATTTGCAATATATTTGAACGGATATACCAACAAGATAATTACTGCTGCAAATAATAACAAAGCAAAGATAGAAGACAGGATAGATCGTAATAGTAATACGTCCTTAAATGATTTCAATCAACTCTCAGGGGTCCTCCTATTGCAGTCCGTAGGATCAGCCCAACTTGCAAAAGTAGCAGCATTAAGAGCTACAAGTTTTACGAAGAAAATTTACATGAACCAATTAGCTATTGTCTCACATAGAACATATCATAACTGCTTTTCCAAGATTGTCTCATTTAAAGTACCTTAGTAAATGGCAGCTTAATAAAATTTGTAAAGAAGTTATTTAACATCTTATTTACTGATAACAATCATAAATAGTTTGTTGTGATGTAATGAGTAAGCCTCGAATACATAGTGACCAACCTCATTCAACTCATGGGATGTAAGAGTAGGCGTCAAGGAGCTTCAAAAGATCAGGGGACTTTATTAGATGATCATCTCAATTTTTTCTTTCAAGTTGAATGAGAAAAATGATTCGTGTAGAGATGATTGTTTAAGTGGGGCTGCAGAAATTTTGTTGAGTTGAAGTTCAAATGCTGCCTAAGACTTCTCACATGCTTATATTAAATATATAAAGAATTTTGGCTAAAAACTTATCTTTATCAACTTTTCAGTATTTTCAACAAAACAAACAGGGAAATGGTAATGTATCGGTGAAAAGAAAATATCATTTCATCATGTGTGTTCTAATGAAGGTTCCAGGTTGTAGAAAATATGTTCTAGGCACCTTAATGTATTCTAAATATCTGAATATATGACAGTCAGTTAAATTGTTAAGGATGGTCTTACATGGTCTTCATCTATGGGCTTTGGACTTTTGAATAGGTCCGGAACTTCAAGGGAGAAAATTTAGGGATTAGAAGACTTGATAGTGAAACCTTTCAAGCAAAATGAGAATTTGTGCTGGATTTCAAATGAATCCTATCTATTCATATTGTAAAACGCCTCTGGACAGTACTTTTTCTGATCTTTCATCAATTCACAATGACCTGGAGTGAAGTGAATTGTTTGTTGGCTCTTCTCTGCACCAACAGTGAGGGTGGGTGGAAAGGTGGAGTGGGGGTTACATTCATGTTGATTTCCTATCAATACATATTGCAAATATAGTTGCTTTATTTTTATACTTCTAAGACATTTTATTTTGACTTTGATGTTTGAATAGTTCAAATCATAAGACAATCAGCAACAGTAATTGACATATGAGAGTCATTTGTGATGTTTTGCAGGGTGATAAAGAGAATAGGTTCTCAATATTTGTTCACTCAAGACCTGGTTTTCTGCTCAGCAAGGCAACAACAAGATCAAGTTACTTTTTGAATCGCCAGATTAATGATAGTGTGCAGGTTTACTTTTATTTGAAGTATGGGAGAAGCAACATGAAATATATAGCAATTTAAATGAAATGTTTAATAATTCATCAACTAAAAATTCTATTATGATTTTTTTCATCTTGTATATGTTATTAACTCAATTTGACAAGTTATCTATAATGAATGCAAAATGTGATCTGACTTTATGTCTGAACCCTCGTGTTAACTCAGTGAACTTTTGAGTAATATTTAGCAAGTGATGGTTTCTTTCCAGGTAGACTGGGGAGAAGCAAGCATGATCCAGGCAGAACGCATTTTGCTTGAAAATGCATTGATGGATCCATTTAATGAGCGGTTTATTTTTCTTTCAGACAGGTGATTTCAAATTATTAAATTTTTGAGTAGATGTAAAGTGATAAGATATGAGACTAAAGGCAACAAGTGTAGTTGCCAGTTGTGGAGAAATTAAGTGAATAATGAATTAGGTTGTCGGCACATGTTTGTGTAGAATTATAGTAGCTCTTGTCATAAGAATGATGTGATCTCATTGGAAGAGGGTGTGTAGACCTAAATTAACATGGCGTCTTGTGGTTGTTGATCTAATAATGAATAGAATAGATTGGCAAAAAATGGATTCATGTAGTCGACACCAAAATTATGGGGAGATGACTTAGTTTGTGTAATTGTAACAAGATTATTGAGGATTTTTTTTTTTTTAATTATTTTTTTAAGTCTATGTTCTGTTTCCCGCAAATCACATGACTAACGATATTTCTGCTTCTTAATCTTGTTACAGCTGCATACCTTTATACAACTTCAGCTACACATATGATTACATAATGTCTGCCTCAACTAGTTTTGTGGACAGGTTAGTGCAACTGCATTTTTTAAGCTTTCTTTTCACAAGTAAATACATTTTTATCAACTCTGTGATCTCAATAATCACAAGATATATCTGAATATATTTTTTCTCTTTTACTTTCTTGCATATCATTTTTGGACAAAAATTTACACAAATAGGGGTTGGAAAGATGTATGGGTCAAGAGTGGGTTTAAAACTTTGCTTGTACTCTAAATTGGTAACAGTTTTGCTGACACGAAAGAAGGGCGTTACAATCCAAAAATGCATCCAGTGATTCCTGTCGAGAACTGGAGGAAAGGATCTCAAGTAACGTCATTTCTTAGCATTGTTGCTTACTGAAGATAAATAATTTCAGAAACTCCATAATAAAAGAGAACGTGAAGCATCTTCTGCATTTTGCAGTGGGTTGTTCTGATGAGAAATCATGCTGATATTTTTGTGAAAGATGACACTGTATTCGCAATGTTTCAGTCCCATTGCCAGGCAAGTGTTTTAATCATTTTGTTGAACAGTTTTGGTGGCACTGCAAGATAACAGTTTCAGCAAAGAGCTGTTTATTGTGGGTACTTTTCTACGACGTAACTTCATTATGAAAAATAGGAACTTTAAAATGAACCACTTTTACCCTTTATTCACAAAATTTTAAGTTTTGACTTGTTCGGGTTTACAAGTTAGGGAACTATCATGTCACTGTTAGGGGTTTATTAACCTTAATTCATGTGTAGAGATTTACTACTTTTAGTTTTCAATTAGCCAGACTTCATGATCACAAGGAGCAATGCATTAAGACATTATGTTTCCCTAATGAATGTGGTTTTTGATCTATAGGTTGCTTAATTTTGCCTTGTACGTACAATATATGTGTATATATTGTTGACTATAAAGTTCCTTCTAGTGTGTTATGCACTCATTTGTTCACTTTTTCCTAACAGAGGAAGTCTCTACCTGAATTTTGGCGAGATCGACACATTGTAAGATTCTCTGTTGTTTGTTTCTCTTGTTTTCCGGCATCTTATAGCAGCTTACTACATTTGCACCTAAAAAAATAGCTGACATTATCTACATGGACCATTCATATTGCCTGATCTTAAACTAAATGCAAATTATAAGTTGTTAATATTGACTTCTGAGTACAAGGTTTTCACTCTTTTTATCAATAATTGCCTCCTGCAGCCTTCTGATAATTCTAAGGAGCATAACTGTATACCGGATGAACATTACGTTCAAACCTTGCTTGCGGTAAGTTGTTCTTTCTTCTCCTTTACAGGATAAAACTTGATCAGAAAGATAGGAACTATTGAGAAAAATGCGTTTTGACCAATCAGATTCAATATTATTTGATAACCTAATGTGCTTTGATGCCTTTAAGGTTGTAAACTATGTTTCCTTAATAGTATTCTCAGTTTCCTCTAATTCTCTTAGTTTTCTTGTTAATGATCAGCAAAAAGGTCTTGAACTGGAAATTACAAGGAGGACGTTGACTCATACCTCTTGGGACCTTTCCTCTTCCAGAGAACATGAAAGGCGAGGATGGCATCCTTTAACTTACAAGTTAGCTGATGCTACTCTCACACTTGTAAAATCCATTAAGGTATGATATATTTTGCGCTGCTTTTATGCTTATGTTCCAAAATATTATATGGTGAAATGGGTCGAGCAAAAACTTTCTGCTCCGTCTCTGTATAAACTGTAACTTGGAATGCATATTGAGATGCATAACTTGATGTCTACACGATGGCTTGTTGAATTATTTACATTATTTTACGGAAAATATAACTGCAAAATATGTGAGACCATCTAAAGATTAAAAGAAGTGTATGCTTATGGCATGTTCAACAAAGTAGATTGAGCTTAGATAGCTCGAAATGGTATCAAGGGAGAAAAATAAGATAAAATACTTTACATTCAAATGTCCGATACTGAACGAGCACTTAAAGTCGTGCATTTGAGTGTAGCTTTTGTTTATCAATCTCATGATCGCATTTTCAAGATACCTGGAATATCTTGGAAAATTGGGAAGAGAGATGGTATATATTACCTCTATATATTCTCTCTTTATGTAGGGTATAGACAATGTTTATTACGAGACCGAATACAGAAGAGAATGGTGCACTAGTAAGGGGAAACCCTCCACATGCTTCCTTTTTGCAAGGAAATTCACAAGGCCTGCTGGTCTACGACTTCTTAGTACGGTCAGTGTGATACTCTGTTGCTCTTTCAGTGTCATTTTAAATCAAGATTTCTAAGGGATCATACGATTTATTGATTGCTGGGATGTTTGGCTAAGCTTAAAATGTAATTTTTACTGTGTGAATAACAATTTTTGCCGAAAATGTTATTGACTGACTGCTTCTAGAACTTTTATGGTTGCAGTCTGCTTTGGGAGTCCCCGTTGAAGCAACAAGCTAAAGGTGACATATATCAGTCAGTTAATAGCCATTGTAAGTTCATTTTCAGGTAGAAGGCAATTTAGGATTAACCAACCTTTCATGTATAAATGAGAGTTGTAAAGATGGGGGAAGAATTTGTTAATGTAGAGTGATGTATATCATAGTATCGCTGTTGTACCACGTAATAAAGGCGATTGTATTGATATATTGTACTCCATTAGTTGGGAAATGAAATTCCACGTCCTTCAGAAGTCAGTTGAAGTTCATCTCAAAGAGGGGGATTACGGCTAAGGTTAGAGAACGTACATTTTGGGTACTTAGCAGCACAAAACGTCCCTACCTTTCAAGATTTTTATAGAAAACGTTCTTACCTTTCGTTTTTTGGCAGATTTCACCATCACTTTTACTTTTTTTGCGCAAAACATCTTTCTGTCAACTCTCTATTAAAATGCAGGGGTAAGATTGTCTAAATCAATTTGTTTTTCATTGTGGCTTTACTCCCTCATTCTCATTCAAATGTTCATAACTAAAAAAGTGAAGTAATATAAAAAAAATTTGTACAAAATTATTTCATTCAATAAATAAGGGAAAATGACGCAAAGGACTGTATTTCTTGTTGAAAAGACTGTAATGCTTGATTGCTCAAAAAATTTTGGAATGATATATAAAGAGAATGAATATGTTATATGTGGTTAATAAACTTGAAATGATCATCCCCATTTCGTACTCATTAAGGGTGTAATAAGGGGTAAGGTGAGAAAACCAATTAAAATGTGATTCTATGAATGGACAATACATAAGATGGAGAAAATGATGAAAAATGAACGGGTATTCTTCCCATTTTAGCATAAAATCGAATTGGTGGTAACAATCCCTATCTTTATATTGTATTTGTGAAAAACATCACTATCCTTACATTGTCTTTGCGCAAAATATCCCTAGTTTTGTTATAAATTGTGCAAACTGTTCCTACTTAGCAAAACCAGTACTCAACAACAAGCTCAAAACTAGGGATGGTTGCACAATTTATAACAAATGTAGGGATGTTTTGAGCAAAGACAATATAAAGGTAGGGATTTTTTCGCAAATACAATATAAAGATAGTGATTGTTACCACCAATTCGATTTTATGCTAAAATGAGAAGAATACTTGTTCATCTTTCATCATCTTCTCCATCTTATGTATTGTCGATTCATAGAATCACATTTTAATTGACTCTCACTTTACCCCTTATTTACACCCTTCGTGAGTACGAAATGGGGATGGTCATCTCAAGTTTATTAACCACATTTAATATATTCATTCTCTTCATATACCATTCCAAAATTTTTTGAGCAATCAAGTATTACAGTTGCCGTGATTCTTTTCAACAATAAATTCAGTTCTTTGCGTCATTTTCCCTTATTTATTGAATGAAATAATTTTGTAAATTTTTTTTTCATATTATTATTTTTTTTTTTTTTTTTTTTTTTTTTTTTTTTTTGTTTTTTTTTTGGTTTTTGGGGGTTATGAACATTTGAAGAAGAAGGAAGGATTGAAGCCAAAATGAAGAACAAATTGGTTTAGACAATCTTACCCTTGCATTTTGAAAAGAAAATATCCATTTTATTTTATTTGACAGAGCATTTTAACAGGAGTTGATAGAAGGATATTTTGGGCAAAAAAGGTAAAAGTGAGGGTGAAATCTACCAAAAATCGAAAGGTAGGAACGTTTTGTACTAATTACCCTACATTTTGTGTAGTGAATTCACGTATATATAGGGGAATGATAATGGGCCAAGTGGTTAATTGATCAAGCACAAGCCCAATATAAAGTTGTTTAATTAAATAGTCCAATCAATTGAATAATTGATGTCACGTTGACATAAATGAGATCTTTTCATCATGTGCATGGTACGTAATTTATAGGTGTAATAGTAGTCTGCAAGTTCTAGTCTTATATTCATGTGTGGATCGGAATTCAAAATATTAGTCAATTATGTGAGGTCTTTACATATTGCCTCAGAAATATGAGCAACTCCAATATGTGAGGGATTATGAACAATCTCAAAAATATGTAGCGATTTCAAATGTAGGTGGACTTGCAAATTACCTTTGAGAATATAAGTCATTCCAATATATGAGGACTTATGAAATGCCTCAAAAATATAGATATTGCATATAATTTATCGAGAACTCGACAACATCTTCTCTGTAATATGGACTAAATCAATTTGTAATACAATACATCCATTGCACATATGCAAAATAAATTAGGATACATTTGACCCCTCAAAATACTAATGATGATAGCGTGAATGGCAGCAAATCAAACTTCTCCAAGATAGAATTTACAGAGAGCCAATGAGAGTAAAAGAGTGTAAGAGAGGGGAGAGGAGTTTGGCTAGGGTTAGAGAGCATACCTTTTCTGGGTTGACTTGACCATCGAAGTACAAACGGTCGTTGAATGCGACCTTTACCTTCTAATGGAATGTTCCATTGCATATGTGACGTTTATGTGGAGAGGATGTGATCAGAATTCTGTTGATATATTTTTCGAGGTCAATAGATTGATGCCATTTGTGAAAAAGGGTATAGTTTAATGAAGAAATCGCATGAGAAAAAGCTAACCAAATATTCTCAAACGTGAAGAAAATGGAGCTCCGGGAAGCATCCCAAAAATTTCAGAAGCAAATGACTATCGCTGGACGAACAAAATTTTCTCTAGCATCTTCTAGCTTGATCAAGTTCACAAAAAGGTAATCCATTATTGCTTTGAGTTTCAAACATAAAAGGAATTAATAAAAACGGAAGAAAAATGGCGGCCATTAATCAGGGGCGAATCCAGGAGTTTGAGTTAGCATGGGCGATCGTTGACCATCTACCGTTGGCCGCAATAAAATATTAAAAGTACTTTTGATATTCATTTTTTTTTTTTTTTTTTTTTTTCAAAAAATGTTTTTTTGAATTGGGGTTTTTTTGAAAAACTTTTTTTTTTTTTTTTTTTTTTTTTTTTTTTTTTTTTTTGCAAAAAATGTATTTTGGAATGGTGATTTGATAGAGAACATGTGACTAAAAATAAAGAAAAGTTTTGGATTTACATGTAATATTATTTTATTGAAGAACGTATGGATAAAAGAAGAAAGAAAAAATGTATTTTAAAAAAAAGGGAAATCGAACAAGGCCTAAAGTATAAATATAACAATTATTTTATTCAAACTGAACATATATAATTCTGTTATAAGAATAAATATAATTCATCAAATAACATTGTTGCCAAGTTTTATATAATTTAATCTATTGTTACCCAAAAAAAAAAAAAATTAGCATGGCGGATCCAACTAGGGCCGCCACCCTAGCTCGCCGCGACTGCCTTTAACCATGAGATTTGTGATATTTAGGTTGGGATGGTGACCAAGAATAATCAAAAATAAAAAATGGAACTTCATCCTCAAATTTCCTTCACGCATTCTACTTTATCCGGTTACACAAAGATTGGAGTTCATTTACTTTAAACTCAAAGACCAGTTTGTGAAGCTTTCAATACATGTTGGAGTTGGGCAAAATCCAACCGAAACCATTCAACCCTCAACCCAAATCGGTTTGGTTGGTTTTTTAAAGTTCAATTGGATTGGGTTGAATTGAAAAATTAGATTTGAAGTTGGGTTGGATTGAGTCTCGGGTTATGATTTAAAACCCAATCCAATGAATTAAAAAAATTAATATCTAAATGAAAAAAAATACCCCCCTAAATAAGCACAATAGTAAAGATATGATGACTTATAATTTATAAACGCTCGTTTTATTTACATAGATTGATTCATATGAACACTTTGTACAAATGAAATGTTATATGATAATAAAATAAAAATTAAGAACGTGATGATTAAATGAACAAATCTCAAAAAATTACAAAAATGAAAATGCTTCATAAATTTTAAATTTATTTATACTTTATTTTTCAGAAAGAATTCCTTGTATACGTAATAAAAAAAAGGTTTTCAAGTAATTTTACACCTAAAAATTTATCCAAATTTAACAATAAAATAATCGGATCCAATTTTAATTGGGTTGAAGCCCAAACTAACCAACATAATCTAAACCGACCCAAACTTGATCGGATTGGGTTGGGTTGAGTTTAAACCATTAATTGGGTTGGGTTGGGTTGGGTTGGGTTTGGATTGGGAAAAAAAATTGATCAAACCCAACCCATGTTCGCCCCTAACACATGCCAACTTTATAAAACTTTGGACAAGATGGAGATTTTAGGTGTGGGTAATGGCATCTTCTAACAGAAAAATTAGGACTAAATCCTATGGGAATGCTATGTTATAAACGAAGAAGAGTTTAGAGATGGGCGCAGCAACTTGCTTAATCAAATGCTTTGTTCAAACTTCTATTCCATAGAGGAGAATTTATTACTTTAAAATCATCGGATCTTCATGTTAGGTCATCAAGAAATTCAAGAACTATAGCGAAAACGTACCTGAATCAGACCTGGTTAATGCAACAATTGAATCTTACGGTTTAGTCTTCCAAATCTACATGCAGCCCGAATTCTCTCTGGCGATGGGAGATAGGATAGAATGAGTAATTCACGTACGTGTGATCTGGGAGCTATAACCGTATTTATACATTGGTGCCCTTGACCTAATTCGGTCAGTCATAGAATTAGGAACTTGGGCCCCGATCTCTACAAATAAAATACTCATACTTTAATTGGATACATTAAATCCCAAAATACAGAAATCTTATTGGATCACTTTTAAATGGGTTTAACCAAATTTGATAGCTTTAATTTAAGGGAAAAATTCATGAATCAGGCTTTAAGTATGGCCAATTCAAATTCCAAGCCTAAAGTTCTAAAATGCAAAAATCAGGTTTGTGTTAATTAATTAAAAATATTTTATTAATGAAGCATATTACAGTCACAGTTATAAGATTTATGGTCACAGATATGTACTTTAAGATCACAATGTCACGTATTATAAAAATAATTGGTCACAGATTCTTTCGTCAGTCACAAATCAAAATTATTATAGGTCACAGTTTTTTAATCGGTCACATATTTTTAAATTAATTGATCACAAATTACTTTTACATCGTAAGTTATCAAATTTTTAGGTCACTGTTTATTTGTCAGTCATAGATTTTGGAATTAGTTGGTCACGGATCATTTTTTAGTCACAAGTTATCAACTTTTTAGGTCACAAATAACTAAATAATTGGTCACATACCACCACCACACTCACCCTGACACCACACCACACCACCA